AAATATATGTCCCGTCTTCTTTTAAGAAACTGGAAACACCTGGGTCAAAAGCGAGAAATATTCAAACAGGTAAGCCTTTCTTCTCTTTTGATTTAATCATTAATATACTCACACATATCAACAAGTGAATAACTTTCTAATGTGCATTACAACGATTAAAAGACTAAAATCTTAAATATATATTTATATATATATATATATATATATATATATATAAACAACTAATAATAACAGATAAGGAGTCTTAAAGAGATGTGTGACGTTTTAAGAAAAGATCTGAAAGTTATAATGCAAGTACAGTTTTCTTATATATTTAGGAAGCTCGTTTAACATCTTCACCGCCACAACGTTTAAAGGCTTTCCCTGTCTCCCAGTGTTAATAGCGATTTACCTTTGTAATGATGCTGCCTGATATTTTGTATTAAATATAAATAGCATCGACGTCAAAAAAATAAGCACATATTTGTTGTTTTAAGCAAGAAGGTCGGGATTGGTTGGTCTTTTCAAAAACGTAAGACATGATGCCAATATTAGGTGAATACTTGATCGTGCTTACATAAAGTTTTAACTACCTTTCCTTACCTTATAAAAGACTAAGGGTTCAGTCTGGACTGGGTTAAGGTAGTAGTTTTGACGTTTTTCTTCTCTATACGTTTGCCTACAACTAGAACAAATGATGCTTGGTTATACGAACCGGTTTGCATTGGATATGGTACTATCGATCACCTATTTAGTAAAGGTTCTTACTGCGGTCATGTAATTGGTACGCAACCAGTAGAAGTAATACCAGCGAAGATTCTCATCAACGAGCATAAAATGCGGGTCTATCAGTTATTTAAAACCAAGGTTTTGCAATCACCAGGGTTATTTATGAATTTGAATAAATTACGCGACAAATATTTTGTTGCACCACCGCGCCGAAAATGCCTTGAACAGATTGACGATATATACTGTCACCACTACTTTAAACGCTGCTTCATCGATTCCTGGGGATCCCAGATGCTTTGTAGAGAAGCATGCGAGGAATTAATTTTTCAAGTCTGTGATCGTGAGTTTAAGGAAGCCTCAGATTTCAACAAGGGGCGCGATTCCCGCAAGGATTTTTTTGGATTCTATTGGGACATCATCGACTGCACAAGATTACCATTTCGGAATGAATCCAACAACTGTTATTATCCAGACAAGGTCCGAGGTAGGTAATACTAAGAAAGGGCTGTATTAACGATCCAAGCTCATTAACAACCTATGTAACAACCTATGTTACTGCACTGCTATAGACCGTTTTTAAGTAGAAACAAAACACCATGATCACTTTTATTTGATTTTGACATGTCAATTTCGTGCCTGTGCATGCAGCGAGAACTCTGCTTTTATCATCCAAAGGAAAAGGAAAGAAATTGGATTTTTCTAGAGTGACGTTTTCAGGAGTCGGTGTCACGCTACATGGTGTATGACATTCACGGACGTCTCTTGAGCTGATCGAATAAGGAAAACGACATCTATAAACGAAATTATAGCGGAGCTCCACACGCGCGCGAAGAGCGCGCGTGGGCGGAGCCCCATAGCTAAGGTAATCTACCCATCCCAGAAAATTTGGTAATCACGTGACCGACCGAGCGACCTTCCGTCCGCACCACAGGCATACCAATGTTTACTCTCACACCTTCTAGCTACTTTGGGAGCCCAGGAGGAAGCTTATTGCACATCAATGTTGTCATCAATTGATGGCTGTCAAAACAGGGTATCCGCTGACCAGTATCACCTGACTGTATCGTGGGTTCAGGTGTCGACCCATCAAGGTGGAGTATTTTTTTGAAGTTATCCGCTGACTATTTATTCGTTTTCAAATGATTGTAGGCTCACGTTTACTTTTTTTTAAAATAGATATCAAATATGTTGTGTTTATGTCAGTATCGCCCCGCACCATTACGATTTTGATTTCAAACTGACCTCAGACGCAAAATTTCAGCCAGTTTTTTTAAAATACAGGCGGGGAAGACCTTTTCTTACCATGGTCACGTGTTGGTCACGCTCCACATCCAGTTTTTATGCTCTGATTGGTTAAAATTTGACAGGTGAGTTCATGCGTAAAATTTATGCAGCATCTTGAAAGTTGTTTACTTTGACAGCTGAAGCTGACAGAGTTTTGAGTCAACTTGTGATGTTTTTTACTGTCTTTTTCCACTGGATGTACAAAATGAAATACAGCTGCTATCAAGAGTGTTCTATTATTCATGGCTGGTTTGTTTATTGGGTTTTTGGTTGAGAAATGCGACGCTTGCCAAAGCCGATAATCCGATTTCGGATGGCATTGTTTTTGTTTTTCACCTTGCTGGATGCGTGCGAGAATTATGAAGGCTCAAGCGATCCTTGCCTTACTTGATAGCTTTCAGGAGCTGCATCTAGAATTATGGTAAGCCTAAGTAATTATTGTATTTATATCTAATTTCATGAAGTCCAGCGGCGCAGTTTATGAAGCTAGTTTATGCACGTTTGTATTAAGATTTGACTGAGACACTGATCTGACCTAGTATGAGGTTTGATATAAGCTTAAGCTTACAGAACTTTAAAAAGCCTTTAGTCGGTATTCATTCACCGTAAATAGAAAGAAAAGACTTTCCGAAGAATATTTAGTTATAATTTTGGCTGTGGAAAGAAAGCTTTGAGCGATTTTCTTGTCCTGAGTTCATCTTTGAAAACAGCAAACAGGCCCGGGAAACCGGCGGCTTAAAACATAAACTTAATCTTTAAGCTTACTAGTAAAGACTTGAGGATTCTTAGAGACACTTAAATACTCATTTGTTTTCGTGAATGAAAATTGTTGTCTCTGTAATTGTTCTACCGAATTATATTTCTTTATTGATTATTGGTAGTCTCAAAAGTGTGATTTTCATCGCCTTGCCGTTTGTTTTCAGTCGTTCATAAACATCGCTTGCAGGAGTAATCAAAATGCCGAGCGTATCAAACGCTTTTTAAGGTTACACATCGTTATAAAACCATGAATAAAAAATAGACTCAATAAATTCTTTATCACTTTGAAGCGTAACTCTTAAAATTTCTTCGCAAATTTGGCGCTTGTCAAAAGTTAGAACCGGCTAGCCGTATAGGTGATTTTGGAAATTTTTTGAACAGTTTCGCTGATTAAAAATACACGCGTGCTTCGATGGTCCTGAATATTGAATGAATGCAATTTGTCTTGAAAAATTGTGAAAAACTGCGTTTTGTACGAGGTCTGAATGATAAAAACAGCGCCTCATAGTACTCTTTCTCCTCAGATGTGGTGTATTAAAAAAAATAATAATAAAAGGTTGGTTTGCACGCACCCAGATTTATTGGCAAGAATTTGTAAATTTGTCCATCGCAAAAAATTCGGCCTGATTTGTTCTTATCTACTGTGATCAAGAGCCATTATTGCTCTTAAATTTGACCGTACACCTTTTTGGGTTTAAATATAAGGCTATATCAACTCGATACAAGATTTGTTTCACTCCAAAATCACTTAACTTTTCAATGGGAGCTTCGCTTTTAGCCGTGGCTAAATCTATATATTACATAATCCCTATTAATCCTTCATTTCTTGCATTTGTCCTCTTAGACGAACTCAACGTCCTCAAGAGTGAAGGTAAGATTAACCAACTGTCCCGTAAACCTGTTGATAAAAAGACCTTTTCAATGATTATTCAGGCATTCGATAAGAAATAAATAATGTAAGACAGTATGCATAAATCAGGCTCTTTTCATCTCTCCACCTCTAGCCTGCGTGACAGGCGTTTGAAAGGGAAGGGAAGTGGAGTTTTAGACGCGAGTAACACAGACTGGTCATTGCGCCTCTTTACTGACAATGAACAACTACAGTAAACTCCAAGTGAAGCGTACCTTCATAGATTCTACTGATGTGTAAAAGTGCTGTCACGCTACTTTCTCTGTTTTTAAAAAACTAAAACTGACGTCTTAGACTTCGCATCAACTGAATTCCAAAAATAATGATTCACGTTTGTTGATTTAAGGCTATATTTAGGCATTGAAAGTGTTTCCTGTTTTCTTTTCCTGTCTTTTGTTGCAGCAGATGGCAAGGACGGACATGGATTGAAACGTGAAAAAGTTGGCTCAACTTTTTCAAGTTTTGCTGCCGCCATGCCTGCAAAAATCGCCAAAAGATATTATGATTAGTGCTTCCTAGTAAATTTTTTTTGATATCTTCTCCAAAATTCTACAGGAGCATTTTTCCTATGGGTAAACTAAGGTAATGCGTAATGAATTTAGCACAAAATTGACTTAACAAAGCAACATCATCGTGAAATAGCCCCTTTAAGAGTATTTCTTTTTGTCAACTCCTGATCCCTTCCTCATGCAGCCAGCTCATTACGGGCCGGAGCTTCCTTGAGTTGACAGTGACAAGCTCAGCTACAGGCTGAAAAGTTGCTCTTATTCGGCCGTTCTTGTCAACCTCTCATCATGAACATGCAAAGTGGATTTTTGATTTTTTCAAAATATTTTTCATTTTTCTCGTGCTTTAATCAGTCAAATAGTCAAGACCCCCCTGTCAATATACTCCTTGAGTAACATACGACGTGGTACATGCAAATTTGTAGCCATGTCCGCAACAGTTGTTGGGGTTCTCCTAAATCGACGAGTTTGTCAGTCTGTGAGCTCTATACGTTACGGTCCTCGTAATTCTTTTTGCCATTATTCAGTCTAATTTGTCCCGTCTTCTTATGGTTCTAATCCAAGTCTTCTGAGTTCTATCAGCTATTATCTGCTCTAGCTAACCCATAACTTCATGTTTTTTCTTGTTGCAGATTGCTTCTATGGAAACGGACGTGGCTATCGGGGCAACGTAAGCACCACCAAAAAGGGCTACACTTGTCAGGCATGGGATTCACAGTGGCCCCACAAACATGCGATTAATGGATCCATTTACGAGGAGGTCAGAAACAGCAGCAATTATTGCCGCAATCCAGGAGGGTTTGGTTCGACAGGGACTTGGTGTTACACCACCAATATGAGCTTGCAGTGGGACTACTGTGATGTACCTAAATGCTCCAATAAAAGTAAGTGGCTTATACTGACTCAGTTACTTTATTGTTTTAACTAAGCTTGCCCTGCAAGAGTTACGTACTGAACAAGTCAGCAAGTGTCACCTGCGATCGCATAATGGTGTCTACAGCTGTACATGTGAACATAACGACAGAGAGTATTTCCTAAATGCTGTCTTTTAAAACAAAAATAAAAACATTTAAAACGGACTTAAGTGGCAAATAAACGGCGCTTGTATACTTTTGGAAGCACTTCAAAGCCCCCAGTTTTGAAATTTCAGTCTTGCCCCTAAAAGGGCATTTCGATTGAGCCTATTCCGGAAAAGGTCCTACTTTAAGGGAAATTTTCACTGTATGATCTACAGAGATGGCTACCATACAATAATCCGATGTGGTGTAGTATTTTTTTGTATGGTGACGAAATTTCAAAAGAAGTGACTTGTAGCAGTTGTGTAATTTTCTCTAAGTGAAGAGATGTGATACGAAGGTCATATTTTGCTCATAACATTGATGAGGATCAAATTTTTAAAATTGAAAGGGAAAGCAATTTAGACAGCTTAAAATTTAGGAACCAAGTCACCATAAAGCACCAGTTTCCACAACGTTTACAGTTAACAATGGGCGTTTTCATGAAAAGTCAGTACGCTCAGGATCATAACCAGTACCATAGAAATAATAGCTTTCTTACCAACGTTCATGCTAGTAAAGCATTTCGTCCACCCTGCCGCAGAACACAACAAACACACATCTCGATTTACCTGATTAATCCACGTAGTTTATAGCAAATAATTGAAAGACACATTCATTTGGGTTCACAGACTCTGTGAAGTCTATACCTTGCTTGTTATCTACTACAACAACTCGTTTCTTCGCAAGTAATCCCCACTTACGATTTATCACAGTTTGTTTCCTTTTTGCCTTTTTCATTTAGCTCCATCAAGCCCGCCGGCCGATTTCAGGGGTCATAATCTGAGCTCAACAAGAATTAAAGTCTTTTGGGGAGATGTTCCAAAACATTCTATACATGGAATACTTATCGGATTCCATGTGGCCTGTGAAAAGCTCGACTTCACTGACGAGCATTTTGTCGACACCAAGTCTGAACATCATAACTGCGAGTTTACAGGAATGGAAAAATATACTAATTACAGCTGTCGGCTGAGAGCCTACAACAATTTTGGAAATGGTACATGGAGTAAACAGCTTTTGATTTCAACTGATGAAGATGGTATGTGGAGAATTCGCTTGGTTTGTTTGCTTCTGGAAAAAAAAAATCCATACAAAGAAACCAATGGACAGAAATAGCTCAGTCAGTGGCCTGAGAAAACAGCCGACATTTGGCGACGCCATCACTCAGTTTCCCCACCAAATGACGTCTGAGAAAAGAGCGCAAAAATTCCTTACTGATGACGTGTCACTACTCAGATCTGGGTAGCACTTCTGATTGCATTATTGAAGAAAATTTTTAGCCAACCAGAAGCACTACCCAGATTTGGGTAGTGACGGGTCATCAGTATAGCATTTCTGCGCTCGTTTCTCAGACTCCATTTCACGNNNNAAAAAAAAATCCATACAAAGAAACCAATGGACAGAAATAGCTCAGTCAGTGGCCTGAGAAAACAGCCGACATTTGGCGACGCCATCACTCAGTTTCCCCACCAAATGACGTCTGAGAAAAGAGCGCAAAAATTCCTTACTGATGACGTGTCACTACTCAGATCTGGGTAGCACTTCTGATTGCATTATTGAAGAAAATTTTTAGCCAACCAGAAGCACTACCCAGATTTGGGTAGTGACGGGTCATCAGTATAGCATTTCTGCGCTCGTTTCTCAGACTTCATTTCACGGAAAACCAGTGGTGGCGTCGCGAAATGTTGGCTGTTTTCTCAGGTCTTAGTCTGAGTAGAGCACTGGTCTGTAGAGCCTGCTCAGGAGCTCGCGGTTTCGACCCTCGGGTCAGGACTAAGAGTCTCTTCAAATGACTAAGAACTGACGCTGGTCCGATGCTAAGGCAAACGAGATGAGTCAGGTGTCTCTCGCTTAAGACGAATGAATTTGCTCATCTAAGGTAAATTCACGAGAGCAGTTGAGAGCAAGAGACGGTACACGATTTGAACTAATTGAATATCAAGAAGTCTGAAAATGCCAAGGTTTTCTTGAGATTGGGTTAGTATGTGTATAGGAATGGGACTCATCTATAACTTACCAGTTGTTGCTGTATCAAAACAAGAAAAGCAAGTTTTAATTTGTTTTTGTATTAATTGGAAGCCCAAATGTGGCAAAAAGCTGCAGGGTATTAATACGATACTCTAAAATGTTGTCTTCCATCATTCCAAAAGTTACTGTTGCGACTGTAATTATAGGAATGATCGCTTCCGTGTTAGAGGGAACATGTCGGTAAGTCGGTTTTGAGATTGCATTTCAAAATAGCAGGCGCAAAACGTCTCTCCTAGACTGCTTAGAGATTTTATTATCTTTATTTTTTATGGACTAAATTCCCTCAAAGGTTTTTTCACAAACTTTTCAAACCCTTTCTCCGCCAGAAGTTTTTTTTATTCAGTGGCCGGTCACAATTGACACGAGTCAAGACAACATCAACGAGATTTCTTCACTTTTTGGGTACAAACCGTATAAATGAGATAGTTAAACAATTACCAGTTTACTGCTCAATCATAAAACCTGGTTAGTTTAAAATCCAAGATGGAGGCCAATATAGCGACTATTTAGGGTGACGTTTTTGCTTCACACGTTGTGAAGATAACAACAGACCATCTACTAAACGTTTGTACTTTTCCCCTCCCCTTTAACCACGGCTGGAGTGTGGATTTGTCAACATGCAAGAGTTGATAGGGAAGTCACTTGTCCATTGTCGAGGTAGGCACACTTATTATAAGTAATCTTAATTCACCTTTCTATCTAGTTCCAGACCGCCCTCCTGAAGAAATATTAGCAAAAAGCCTTGGAAAGGATGTGGTGCAGCTTGAGTGGAAACCAGTCCTCCCGAAATATGCGAATGGAAAGGTTCTTGGGTATAAACTAATTTACGGTGTCGTTAACAGCATATTGCGAGCTAACAGCATCGTACCTGCACCAGGACATCGTCTAAAGATCGGTGGACTGAAACCCAACACGAACTACAGCTTCCAGATTCTTGCATTTACCTCAAAAGGCAACGGTGCGACCAGTACAAACTTCTTCGCTAAAACGTCTTCAGGTACACTGGAAATCATTGTTACAAACAAGTAAATAGAAAAGGGGGGAAAGAAAGAATTAAAAAATAAACTAGAAACAATAAAATAAAGAAATAAATGAAAAAATATTAATGAATGAATAAATAAAAATCGCCAATGATTGACTGGTAGCACATGACTGTCGTAATGTCGACGGGCATGTTATGTCAGTTCCTAATTATCACAGCCAAATTGAAATCTAAGTAGTTGTGTTTTCTTTTTTTCGTAACAATTGAAAACCGAGCAAACCATGAAACCTAATTTAAATCCACTGAAAGTTCTGTAAAAAATTAGGTCGATTTCTCCATCACAGGTTTGCTAATAATACCATGAAGGGCATGAGTGTCCCATGAAATGAAGGATCTCAGTGTTAAGTGTTCAACTCCTTATCATGTCGAACACGAGTAGTTTCCGCAGCTATTTTGTTTACTCTTCAAAAGGTATTTTTGAGACTTTGAGTTTTTTCACACTGATGATTTTTGAAAACTGAGGGACGACTCCTCTAAAGTGCTTTTCAAAAAATGTTTTGATAATACAACGATTAATCTGATATCAACTCATCCTCTGAGACCCAGGGGCAGATAGTTGGGGTGAGGGAAAGTCTCAACGGGCGGGAAAATATGGCACGAAGAAAAGTAAAGAACGGCGAGAAGAGCCCCTGGGGACAATGTCTTACCAGACCAGTTCCAAACGGTCGCCGCCGTGCTGCCTTCTGATAGGGCAGAAAAACACAAAAGTTTTCTGGCACCAATCACAGGCCAGAACGGCGGCAACCGTTTGGAACTGATCTGGTAAGATATTGTCCCCAGGGGCTCTTCTCGCCGTTCTTTACGTTTCTTCGTGCCATGTTTTCCTGCCCGTTTAGACTTTCCCTCGCCCCAACTATCTGCCCCTGGGTCTCCGAGGATGATATCAACTTAATCAGACTTGTAACAATCCAACAGCCGGGGAATATTGCCTTAGTTATTTTTTTATCTGATGCTTTTTTTTTCAGAACCGAAGCAAAACCGGAGCAACGATCTAGGTACTGCTACATTTATATTTTCAATCTTTGGTCAGGTCAAACTTATCCTTGCAAGCACGTTAATGTTTGTTTTCATTTGTCTTTCTATTTGATAGGAAAAGGAGCCATAGTTGCAGCAAGTGTTGTACCTGGTATCGTTGTCTTCAGCACCATTTTCCTCGCAATATACTTTGCAAGAAAGAGGCAATTGATGGCCCTGAACAATGGAAATAGTAAGTTGATCTTACAAAAAGTAAAATAAAATACTTTTAGTCAGTTATAGCTTAAGACATACAGTGGAAAATCTCCACATCATATTTAACATAAAAACAGGATGTTATAAGCAAGAGAGTCTCTTGCTGGTAGCCACATGGTACTACAATTTTTAGTAGCTTAGCTCTCGCATGTCCCTTACTGAGGTCAACCTCTAGCCTTCAGAAACCAGACAGTCACTGAATGGGTCAGATTTCTGTTACACGAAATTATCTTTTTCGAGTCGCCTGTGTCACTTTTACCTTCAACAGTTAACAGGAATTTAGCTGGAGGTGTCGTACCATACGCTACATCACCACTGGACTGGATTGATAGAATCATTGCTAATAGACACGGATACGAAGCACTCGATGACGAAAATGTTCCCATCATCACACCACGTCGCCATCGCTACATCAACATTGCTGCTGATGGTTCCCTAAACATTCCACCGTACCTGAGGAACATTCTTATTGAGTTTGAACAAACCTATGAAAACACACGCTACAATAGGCTGAAAAGGTTTGTGTATTAAATGTTTGTGGCAAGATGTGATGTTCAAATGTGATGTTCACAGTAAACCGGTAGCTATACGTGGCACCACGAAATCGAAAGTGGAGCGACTCGGATAGGTTTTGTGCCACACATTTGAACACCTATTCGAAATGTCGCGGAAGTAAAAAAAAAAGGGTGAAAACTGGAACATACTGAGGCGAAAGTAAATATTCAAGGAGGAGGACTAGAATTTAGCGCACCAACCCTCTGCGCCGACCGCGCATGCACGATGTTGGATGTGACCGACTTGTGCCGACGCGGGCCGTTGTTGTTTATACTACTAAGGGACGGATCCGGACCATTAGAAAACTTATGGGGGGGGGGGGGGGGGG